CCTATTTTATTTTATTATTGTTTTCTATTTTATTTTTATACTATTTTTTTTATTACAATTTGAACGTAACATAACAAAAGATTTGTGTAGAATTTGTTAAAATCTCGCTTTTGAAAGTATGAGGATTATAGTAGAAAAAAATTAAAAGTAGAAAACCCCAAAATACAAAAATTGGAAGTTGAAAGATAAAGATAAAGATAATATGCATTTTTTTTTTCAAGTTTCTATTTTTCAGTTTTAGTGATGGAGCTTGTGTGAGGGGTCAATTCTATAGCTCATAATTTTTGGTCTCGTACGAAACCGAGAGATCTTTTTAGTTAGTCTTAGACATACTCAAGGTTTTGGTTCTTCTTTTTCTTTTTAGAATAGGGCTTAGACTGTGTTACACATATTGGAGATTCTTTTTATATTCCATATGTATTAATATTCGTGAGTTTTATTAATTAATTGGTAATAAAAAGAGTAATCGGTAGCTATTTTAAACCTTTGTTAGATTTCGAAATTTAAAGTTAATAGTGTACTAACTAAAATTCATAGGACTGGTTTGCACAAGTTAATGTTGGTTGGTACAGGTTAATGTTTATTTTTCGAAATGACGGGAAGTGTTTTTTTTAATATAATATATGAGGTGGGAGATTGAACTTACGGTCTCTTATGTTAACTAATTCCGAGTAAACTCGCTTCAGGCAAAGTTGAGCATCACGGTAAAAACTGTGTGGACATTTGAAAAATAAAATAATGCTATACCCTTCTAGCATGTGTTATATGCTGAATGGCATCTTGAATTTATGGCTTATAAATGGTTAAAATTGTACTCTCAAATTTGAACAGTTATCCACACCAAGTGTTCGACGAAATGTCCAAGTTAAATTACTTTTTACTTTTCCGATGTTCATTTTGTTTAGTGGTTTATCTCTGTAAATTCCCCATAAAACGGTACCACTTTTCACAACATAAATCACCTCTGATGATCCATTCAACTGGACTTGCATGTTTTCATGGGCATGCTGCAAGCGTTTATAAATATACTCTAAACATTGTTCATCAATTGCACTCATTTTCATCCCACTCGTTTTTTTGTGTATGAAAGGTAATTTAATTTCTAACCCAACTAAAATGTCCTAATTAATCCTTCCTCACCATATTTGGAGAAATTATTGGAGGAACAATGTAATGGGTAGTTTTTATAATTTTTTTTAGTACAATAAATATGGGGATGTCTCGAATGAAGGAGTTGATGTCTTAACCGTTGAGCTGTGCTTTTGTTGGTGGATAGTTTTTATGACATTAATTATTAGACGTTCAAGAAAGAGATTATTAAATGTTTTTTAAAAAGCATAAAAATTTTAAAACTTGCATGGTTATTACTCACACACTAAACCTACACGATGTTTACCATACTTTTTAGACATCAACCATGTGCGCATCACCTACTCACATATCAATGGTTGTCTCACGAATCTCATGTTCACCATACAATTATTATTTGATTTGTTCTTCCATGTTWTGTAACCACTCCATTTTTCCATCTCTTAGGTATACGTCAAAATGAGTATAATTCAGTAGTAATTGATATCTACTATTTCTCTTAAGTCAGATATTCAAACTTCTATACTACTCCAATTTATGGTACTTAACAAAGAAAAACTAAGTTAATAAACAAGTAACGTTGACTACCATATCTTTTGATATAGAACAATACTTCTCTGCTGATCATCAGTCTTTTGTTGTCCACCACTAAATTTTTCATAGAGATGTTTATTTAAAAAAGGTAATTTAAACATGATTTAGTTACCGATCGATTTTATTTCCCTAGTAGTAGAGTAGATAATTGTTTTTGGTTAAGAAGAATAATTTTGAGAAGAGGAACATGTAAACAATCACTTTGTCCAAGAGAAAAAGAAGACGACCAAAGTTAGGTTGCTGGGAAGAAAGGAACAACCTCCGACAAAACCAAACCATCCGACAACCTTTCGGTTGATTCCCTTCCTAACTTACATTTTGTATATACTACCTTTACTTCCAACATTAAAATCATCTATTCTTTTCACAAAATCAACACATTATTTTTCTTTTTTAGTTGAAAATATATGGGCTAAGAATTTGATTGACATTTTATCAAATTTTCCCTAAAATTAAGATTTTTGGACGATATAAACATTTAGATTTTGATTAATAGAAAGTAAAGCGGATTATCGTGGCCAACATGAGTTTAGCTCCATAGTCATTGATATCTGCTTGTGACCAGGACCAAGAAGTTATATGAGTCTCACAACTCCACTTGTTGTAAAAAAAATGATTATCGTGGATTTTCAAACGAGTTAAGCTATACAAAAAATACCGGCAAGAGTCCAATATTTTCTACGTATTTTTTAATTTAAAAAATATTTACAAACATGAACATAACTTAAACTGGTTTGGTCCGATCCCCATATGCTTTACTAAAAAAAATTCCCGTGATGTAATTATGCGCGATTAGTCGTAAAGCAATAGCGGCTTCGGCTTCGGCTTCGCGCGGGTTTCGTGCTCTGGTTTTGCTCCCGGAAAAAACCGGGAAATTTTGTAATAGAAAAAAAAAAGAAAAAAATCCTTTCGAAGTTCTCATAGTTTGTACGAGCCACGAAGGGAATCGTATTCTCTCTCCGCCGTAATAATCCAGTGAGCAACCACCGCCGAGAGATTTTGGAATTTGGACTTTCTGATATTATTGGATAATTTTGGGATAACGACTGCTACAGCGTTTTAGGGTTCTGTCATGGCGGGATCTTCTTCAAAAGAGGAGCTCGTCCAGCTGATCAAGCGGTTTGGGAGTAATCTTAGCGTCAAATTGTCCAGTTTGTTCTCCATATTGTTTCAAAGCCGGGTTTGCTATCCATTCCTTTCTCTTCTATTCATTTTCGTCGCGTTTATTGTACATTATTGGGAATGTTTCTCAATTTCTGCTTCTCTTTATAGTTTTTATAGAGACTGGTTCGGAATTTGTGTGGAATGTTTAGCACTATAAGTTCGCATGATTGATGAATAAAATGTTTTGGTTCCTGTCCTTGTTGATTTGTTTATTGTCGTTGTGTGTTTAGTAAGATTGTTTTCTTTCTCAAATTGTAACTTCTCTCGCCTTCACTGCATGAGGGGATTGAGACCAAGAGATCCTTCATTGCGTTCCCTTTCTTATGGCTTGAGTAGATTGTTTTCAAGAACCATGAAAACTGTTTTTGTCAATAGTTTCAATGTCAAGAGGGAGAATCTAATAGCTAATCATCTCAATTTTGCAAATGACACTCTTCTTTCCATTCCCTTTGACAAACGAAAAATTAACAACTTATTCAAGGTTGCGAGAATCTTCGAAGGAGCTTTTGGTTTGAAAGGAAATATGCATAAATCTGCAATGGTGAGGATCAATGTCAGTAGAGAAGAGGTGCGGTGGGCCAATAATTCTTTGGCTCTATAGGTGCTTAGCCTCTTAAGTTCTTGGTACCTTCCAGAGGAATTAATCCACGAAGTAGGCATATCTAAAGGAGGAAGACTTGCGCATACCCCAATTCAAATTTCCCTTCCTAATCTTCCAACTTATTGCTTTTGGTCTTCAAGGCTCCTAGTAGTCCAACTAATGAGGTTGACAAGATTTTGAGAGATATCTTGGGAAGAAGCTGATTTAGAGGGGTTTGTCACTTAACTTAGTGGGTTATTGTTTCTCTTTCTTAAGGATGTAAGAGAGTTAGGAATTGAAACATGCCTAGGTGAAACGTGAACCTTCTTATCAAATGGCTACCTAAACATATCTAGGAGAAATTATGACCTTTGTAGCTGAGTGGCTTTGGAGATTTTATTTGGAGGCTGACTCTCTTCCGCATGAAGTGATCGCTAGAGAGTTTGGTAAGAAGCCTAAAGGTGTGGCTGAACCATAAGTAATTTTTTCTTGCAAATCTCTTGTCCACAAATTCATTGCACCTACAACCTTTCTCTAAAGAGAAGTTTAAGGCACTATGTATAGGTAATAGTCCAAAGAAGGGTAAGGTTTTCTGTTCACTGCTATACTTGGAGGATTAAATACAAATGACTTGATCCAATCAAGGATCTTGTCGTTTGTATCATGTTTAGCTTGGAAGGAATGTCTTCGAATTTCAAACTTTTATTTAGTAGCTCCAGTTTCTGTGGTTGCATGCACTTCCATTACATGGATGCTGCAAAAAACTTTATCATTAGACATTAACAATTTGTGACATTTGATAATTCCCTAAGTATTAGTTTGTGTTAGAAATCCCTCTTTTTGAGAGACTTGAGGGAGTTATCTGTGTTTTGTTCTTATGGTTATGGCAGGTGTATCAAATATTCTATAACTAAGACGGAAATTTAGTGCCTCTGTGTTCAAATTTGTTGCAGAATTTGCGGTCTCTCAGTGCTATTGCGGGTTTTGCTCTTGCTGTAATCTTCTCATGGAAACTGTTAAAACCTCCTAGTGGACATCATAGAAGGCAACCAAAAAGGCAAACTTCTGCAACAAGTAATTCTGACAGCACAACAAGTTCACAATTGATAACTTCTAGAACTTGTTCCCCTTCAGATGATTCTGGTGCACAAAACTTTGACAATGAACTTTACCAGCCAGTGAAGGTAAGTGGTGGGTTAGTTTATTTACCTGACATAAAATTCTTAAAGGAAAAAAAAAACATTTTTGGTGCTTAATGTTTGAGAACGTTTTCACTTTCATCCCTAAGTTTCAAATATTCTAACTCAGAGATTTGAGAAATAGTTTAAATAGGTTCCTGGAATCATCAATCCATTGATGGCACTAGCAAAATTTTGATTGGGAAAATTAAATGATAATATGGCTTTGCATATCTGGAGAATTTTAGTAACATGGAAAGTTGTATTTTATTTATTTATTTGCATATGTCAAAAGAGACCAACTATGCAATATAATATATAGAAGCTTGAAACATCTTTCAAGTAAAGTTACGTTATCATTTAACTTATATCAGATGCTAATGGAATAGTTATTTCAAAGACCAAATTGACTTATAAGTTTTTTTCTTTTCGGAGCTGCAGAACTGAAGTGGAAACTTTCTCAAAGACCAGAAATGTATATTTTACTATTTACCATATATTGATTACTTAACTAACAATGAGTGCCTGGTTTTTCCTCAGCCAACTTTGGGGCAAATTGTTAGACAGAAACTTGGCGGTGGAAGAAAGGTAATTAAAACATGTTTGATAAGTTCAATATTTGTTTGCACTTTTTTACACGTTTTTCTATTTATAACAGTACTGTGAAAGAATGTTTACGGGGATCAATATAGCGAGATCATCTTGGTGGTTGCTCAAACCTTTTCGTGCAATAGTTTTTTAGGTTTCTTCATCTGAAAACTGCAATGCTTGTATATATTTGCCTGTAAATCAGAGGTTCCAAAATGGTTAGAGCTGGCTATAGATTATTTCATTAAAAATGGATAAGCTTTAATCTCGTTGACCATTCATCACACGTAAGCTTAACCTTTCAAGTTAACATTTATCATCCTACGTGCATAAAAGCATACAAAAGTTAGTAAATTGAAATGGCAAGTTTTGATTCGAAATTCTTGTTATTTCAGGTAACTTGTCGTCTACTTGGAATAATTTTGGAGGAACATAGTCCGGAAGAGCTGCAGGTTGTGGTAGTTTTTTCCTATCTGAATGTTTTGGAATGAAATTCTGTGTCTGAGAAAGAAACCTGGTCGGGATTGACGTTTGTAATGTTACTGGCAGAATGAAGCAACTGTGAGGTCCTCTGTCGTGGATGTTCTTTTAGAGATCACAAAACATTGTGATCTCTATCTGATGGAAAGAGTTCTTGATGAGGATAGCGAGGTGAGATTGTAATTTATAGGGATGAGCTTTCCAAATGTTGGTGAATGCTGTAAAATGTCTTCTCACTTAAAAAGGTTGGCAGAGAAGATCTGCTCCCGGTTCAACAATCTTCTTATGCTTTATTGTGAAGAAATTTCTTCTTCAACCAATCGTGCACAAACTTTACAAAAAAGAGAGAGAGAGAGAGAAGAAGACCGTTTAGCATCTAAAAGTATTGGAAGCCATCCTGAAGGGAAAAGAAACACCTTTAGAGGGATTCTATATCTGATTTTTGGTTATGTTAGTTTTGAATTTTTTTAAAAACATTTAAAAACCAAAGTTCACGATGGGTTATTTTGGTTGATGGTGATGCCGGAGCTACACTCAATTTTGTTCACTGAACTCCAGGGTTTAAAGGCATTTCTTTTTGCAGTATCTTCATATATATTCACATCAATAGTTTATTGCTGATAAAATATCTTTTCCAGAGAAAGGTTATTATGGCTCTGGAAGGTGCTGGCGTTTTCACATCAGGTGGCTTGATCAAAGATAAGGTTAACTCCATAATGAACTTTCCTTGTTTTCATTTTTCCTAGACAAAGATTCTATTGCCTATTCTTCACGGTTTCAGTGCCTGGACTTAAATGCTGTTAATTCTCTTTTTCTCGCAATGTTGATAACACTATCTTGGTGTTTTAAGTTATTTTATTTGCTTGTTTTTCAATTGCTGCAATGTTTTGGACATTTGACATCATTTTGTCTACTACCTTTTTTTCAATTTACGTTTCTTAACGGTTTTGGGATCCCTTCCCTCCCCTACCTCATATGGGTGTACCTCTGTATTGAGACCTCCTTTGAAATGTTAGAGAAGCTGGCTTAACTATGTTACATTGTTAAGCAGCTGGGTTTTAAGCTTGTTTATGTTCTTGACATGTTATTTCAATATCATTACATTATAATTCCAGCTGCTTCTTTCGATAACTTCTTTCACCTTAAATTTGCTGCCTGGTGCTGTGTTTAGGTTCTCTTCTGTAGTACAGAAAATGGGAGGACATCTTTTGTTCGGCAACTAGAACCTGATTGGCATATTGACTCGGATCCTGAAATCGTTTCTCAATTAGCGGTATATTTCCATACAGTTTACTATCACGAGTTTAAGGGTGATTGGACGTAAACTGAATTTTCAATATGTTTTAAAACAATCTGCTAAGTTTGTTTTGATGCCACAGAGATTCATCAACTGTCAGCTTCACATATCTCAAGTCAAGCCGCCGGACCGGACATCCTCCAATGTTTTGTCTTCGGCATCACTGGAGCAGTTCTTTCTATCCTCATGACACAAGATCAGCAGAAGTATCCATGTATAATTTCTTTCCTCCAATTGCGTTCCTCTTTAGATTTGATGTGCATTACTTCCTGCCAACAATATCTCCGATTTGGGAAATGCTTGGTTTTCGTTTTATCTTGCAAAATGCCCATTGTGCATCTATTTAATAAGGGACTGGGTCTTCCAATCACCCCCTCAAGGGAAAAATAAGTGCTTAGGCATATGGATATCAACTGGGTAAACGGGATGGAGAATCCTAGGGTAGGGTCCGTTTACTTTCCAGTTTGAGCTGGTGGCTTAGACTTCAGAAACATCAACTTTTCGAGTGTCGCTTTTTTTAAGCCCACCCACCAGATTGTAGTAACCTTTAATTTTGAGAAGCATTTTTATCATGTAATGTAAATGAGCAGTTTTTTTAGCTCAACTAGTCGAACTTCTGAGTTCTAGAGAGGTACGAAAAATGGATATTTGTGGCAGCTGGTGACTGTTATTGCCTACTGGAGAATAATTCATCAGCTCGTTCTCTTTTGTCAGAATGTAGAGAAATGAAGTGAATCATGAAATGAGACATTTGTGAATTATATTCTATCAAAAAATGTTAGACTGTAACTTGAAGGGGAAAAAACAGTGCATCTGCTCTGGTAGAAGAGAATAAAGACGATGATAATAACACAATTTATACGCTCGAAGTTCTGAACAACCCCTTCTACATCATGAGACATGAACTGACTGCAATGGAAGGAGTATTGGGAACGGAACGAGGTGCTTCTTTCCAAATCCACGATTACAGGCGATGAAGCAGCCGATTACGTGCCCTGGGGTTTGTAATGTAAATCTGGTTTGTGTCAACGTTGATTTCTGGCACGAACCAATCTTCAGGGACGTTTTGAAAAAGTATGATAGWTTTTTAAAAGAATTTGAAAAAAACAAACAGGTACTTTTCAACGTTCAGCCCAACTTGTGTAGAACATATATATGTATGTACGTATACGTAGTTCACTACTAAAAACTAATAAACATAACCATGCAACATCAAGATTTTTTGACAGTTGTTATGTTTAACAATTAATTTTGATTCCCGAAATAAAATTGAAATTTGAATAATATGAAAGTAAAAAACAATACATATTTCAGGAATCAAAATATATATTTTGCGGACCGAATGCTTGTGCTAATCCATAGAGAATTTCTTCCAAAATAGCAAAATCAAATCTGCCAAGGTCAACTAGAAATGGGAGGTTGCCAATATCTGCTGACAACAAAACTGGAAATACAAGGTGTTGTTCAACAAGAATCCATTTAACCCCATTCAAACCAACTCTTTGAAAACAAATACCTTTCTCTTGCTGTACCAAGAATCCATTTAACCTCTACAGCAGAATTCGACGTTAAGCATCGTCCAAATGTGACCTTTCCTCATCGAGCACCTCCACATCTACGTTTTGATCTTCACCCTCATACTGCGATCCAAATCTCACGTTAGATACTATAAGCATGTTAAAAAGTAAAAGCCATGTTCGATAATAGAACCAACTAATGATTCTCTACACTAAACTAAACTTATTTAAAAGAAGATCGCCGCCATGTTCGTAATAGAAATTTGAATGAATGTAGAAAATGAAAGGTAAACTTCGTTCGTAAGAAATAATTGGAATTTTGTCCATTTTCAATGTGTACACAGTTTAAGAAATTCTCAATTTTGAAAAATAGAACTGAAGAAAAGTAGTGAAATTAGAGAACTTGCTAACCCTTGAATGGTTGTTTTCACGGATTGGAGGAGGTGGAGGGGGCAGGAACGGCAGGCTGCCTGATGCAACTTCCTTAGAATTTCCCCTTGTTTCATTCACTTCATTATTAACTTCCAATTCGATATCAACATCTTCATCAACTGCATGAGCAGCCATGCTGGTTAACGGCACTACAACACCTGACTCTAGACCCCTAATCTGCAAATTTGAGTTGAGAATTTTAGTGCAACACCACCAGCATTTAATCATATCACATTGCACATATAGAAGCTTCATAACTATCGCAGGGCAAGGAAGGGAGGATTAATGAGAATCTCATCATCCTAGATTAGAAAACAATGATATTAAAAAACTACAAGGGAACGAATTAAATAGATAGTAGCACCCTTCATGCTGCCATAACCCATCTGGGCTTCGCACTCCATACTGTAAAACTAATCAGACATCACTTACAGAAAACCTCAAGCACACAACACAGTAAATTGTACAAACAAAAAAATTGAATAGAAAACATCAAAGTCACCTTATCTGCAGTAAGAACGCTGCTAGATGTTTTTCCCCTCTTCTGCTTGCTTTCGTTTGCTGTAGGTATCAAATCATTGATTTTGTTGCCAACCGTCTCAATTTTGCTATATAACGATTGAGCAGGATGCGCATTCCACCGAGAGAACCTTTTAAATCTGCTCACTGCCTCCTTACTTCCTTTGATTAAATCGGCTAATGTAGCACAATTATAAGTATCAGAAAAAAGAGGAAAGTTCCAACAGAAAGATGTCATCATTAAAAATAATCAAAATGCAGGATGCGCATTCCACCTTGCTTTGAGTTTTCGGCAATATCTTGAATAACATGCATTTTCTTCTTGCTTGAAGAAGCATCTTTTTGCAGGTCGCGAAAAGGGCTGGCTGCATGATAACCAGGGTCCTCTCCATCGCTCACAATATTGATACTTGAGTCTTCTTCATTGGCACCAATTTTACTAACATCTGAGGCCAGCTGATCTCCCAGATGTTGAAATCGGGCTTCTGATCTACTAGTTTAAAAAGGTTAACATATTTTTCTGTAAATCATCAAACATTAGAAAATGCAGTCAAAATAATTTGATAAATACTTGCCGCTTCAGTTCATCTTGTATCCTCGTGTAACGATTATGTGCTTTGACAAACTTCTTAATTTTTGATTTGATCCTGAATATTAGTGGTCCAAGAAAAATAGAAGTAAGCAGTAGATGTCCATATTTACCAAGAAACATGTCAGTGGATAGACGATTATGAGTACCTTTTGCACTCCTCCCTTTCTTTGTATAATTGAGATTCCAGTTCCTGAATTCTAGAAGTCAAACTGTCCACTTCTTGGATCTTCTCTTCCAGGTAGACCTGCAAATTAAAATATAATTTGTTAATATCTTGTATATAATTTTATAGGAAACAAAACAATTTCATTGGTAAAGTGAAATATACATGATCTTGAAAATATTGCTTAATCAAATACGAATCAATAGCATACACCGCTTAAGAGTTAAGAAGATAGCATAAAATATGCAATCATGTGGAGAAATAAAATCTCCTTTCGTGAGGCTGCACTTTTTTCACGCCCAGGCAAATCCAGCTTATAAAATTTTAGAGATACCACAATGATCTGGAGAAATACAGTCTCCTTTTCTGAGGCTTCACTTTTTTTACTATCCGTTCTAAATGTGCCTATTCCACTCAATTGACTTTTGCCCATCCCACCATCAGTGGCGCTGCAGCACCCAGAAGGCTTCAAAAAACAAGGAGTGGAAGTTTGCGGGATGCTTAATTTATTTATTTTTTAAAAAATGAAGAAGCCCAACCAAATGTTGCCGTTCCCAACACCAAGTACAAGTTTCCCAACCCTAATTGTAGGTAGGAGTTCGTGAACCCCACAGCTAACTACGCCACCCAATTATGTGCTCCTAAAAGCCACATGTTCACCCCTTCGCCTGATGGTTGTGTCCATTCATGCGTTTGATCACAATAGCTTCTATGATCCTTTCCCCTTTTGCAAATCCAGATAATTAAGACCCAATTGAGCTAAGTTCTCGAATGTCAGCATTAATTTGGCTGAAACTGTAACATTGCCTAAATTCTGCCTATATCAGAAAATCTTCAACGATATCTCCCCTAAACTATGACCCTTAACTTCAACTTTTGGGAATACATTCATATGATTCAACCTCCCCGCCCACCCACCCCCAAATTTATTTACAAATTGCAAAACCTGAAGATACACATCCAAATTTGTTCTGACCATTAGACAGGATTGCATCCCTTCAATGGGTGTTCTTCAATTCTGTGGCCAATGGCCCACCACATTCTGACCAAATTTGCAAACATATAGTAAATTTGGTATGAGTTCAATCTTTTTCTACCAGCACAACCCAACTAGAAACACTCAACAGCTAGTTTTTATTTTCACTCTAACCCGCTTTGGTACGATCCTATAAACCCACATGAAACTTTTTGGTGCTTTACCCCTTCATTTCATTCTCTAGCGCTCATTGACAAACTTACATTGTTCTGGTTGTTTCAGCTTTTCTCCAACAATCTCTGACCCGAGCACACTAATTAATAATTGGTGACCTCATTGATGATAAATCATCTTCTGCCCCCCTTTAACCATCTCAAAAATTTCCGGCAACTCTTTCCTAAATTCTGGATCCAGTCCAGACTATTGTGTTTCTATATCAATTTTTGCTGGACAAAAACAAAAAACTGAACAAACTCATTAAGAATGTATGGTCAATCATGTGACTGGTGAGTGGTGACCCTCTGACTCATTTCAGCCAACATATTACAAAGAGAATTTCCCAACAATAACTAAACACCACCAAAAAAACAATAACTAATCACCTCAAACAGCTTACAAGGATACATTTGAGAAAATACAATCGTAAAGGCACATTTAGGAAGAGTTATAATTAAAATTTAAAAAATAGGAAACCCTCGCAATTAATACATCAATGGAAAATGGAAATGTTTCTTGCCTATTGCTTGAACATAATTAGAGGCAGAGAGCAACTAAAATAAAGAGACGTGACTAACCTCAGCTTGGTGTTTGTGGTGCTCAGCCATCTCAATATCTGCCTGCATCTTGTTTAACTGTGTAATACAAAGATGATCAAACAAGATTTCCAGAGAGTAACTATTTCTAATTGATAAAAGATTGTACCTGCCCCTCAAGAATGTCTCTAGAAGTAGATGATGTGATTTTCCCTTCTCTATCTCGTTCATCACTTCTATCTGAAATCCTCAAACTCCCAGAATAATCATTATGGGAATCCCCATGTTCTTTTTTCCTTCTTTTACGGTCACTGAAATGAATGTGTGCAATTCCAAATTATCCGTGTGGAAAGAGACTGAAAATTTGTAAGAAGTAATTTGCTAACCAATATTCATGAATATATAATTGATTGTGGAAGAATGAATGCAGGCAGGCCACAAGATATCATGTCACATAAGATTTTCTAACTATAAAGTAAGAGAAATTTTAAAGATCAAGCATGGCTCAAGAAATAACAAAATCAAGAAGGGCACTGGGTAGGAAGAAAGGATTTCACATGACCATTACCCATGATAAAAATCCCATAAACATATCTCATAAGGACTTAAGTAAATCTCTCGATAGATATTTGCATCTTGCCCCTGAGGAGCAGTCCTGTTGGCAAGGGTTTGGGGTTTCTTAGCCATATCAGTTTAGAAGTCTCGAGTTTGAACCTTTTGGTGAGTTTAGTATTAAAAACCATTGATGCCTCCCGAGTCTGGGCCCTAGGACGGGTATAGGGGAGCAAAGCTCGACTCCCAATTATCAAAGAAAAAAAAGGGAAAAAAAAAGATATTTGGATCTCAGGATCAATTTCTGCCTTTCCTTTATCCATACCCTTATACAGGAGATAACACCATGTTGCCTACCGTACAGGTCAAAGATTCTATTTACTTATTATGTTTCACATTTCTTAGCATCTTTAAATAGTAAATGAGAATCACTTTTCACTGCCAAAACATAAACATATATATGATGAGAATCATAATTTACATTAAGACGTCCTCTAGGCAGGTGAGGTTTTTTATTTTTTATTTTTTTAGGATAAG